ATAATATAAGTGATGAATATGAATAATAAGAGAAATTCGCTATAATAATGGTACGGAATGGGAAAGTACATTTTCTTTACAAAAGGTTCTTATTCTTTAATACAGATATCAATAAATTACATAAGAGAAACATTAATAAGTAATAATGAATTTCGAATTTGGGCTTCTTGCATAGCACCTATAAGTTTTAGAATTTGATTTGAGTAGTTTTAAAAATTCTAAATATCCACTTATGGGATAATTTTTCAATTAGATTTAACAACTGTCAAATTTTTTAAAAAATTTTTGGGTTTTAAAAAAAAAAAAAGTAAATAAAACAGAATTGGGGAAACCTTTAAAAACCAAATTAACTAATTCTGTGGGTACAAAATTTTTATTCTTGTGATTTTATAGAAAAAACTTGTTTTATTTGGGGAATTTTGGGGATGTGGAAAATATCATTGAGTACTGCGGATTTTTAAAAAGGGTTTTTCCTTTTCAAAAGAACCAAATTTGGGTTGGTTATTCTGAAATTAATGAAATATTATAAAATTTAATAAGAAAAATAATTTCAAAATGTGTTTTGGGAGAAAAAAACAATTTTAAAAGAAGTAGCAAAAAGTTTTACATTAATTTTAAAAGAAAAGTAAATTATATAATGCCAACAAAAAAGTAATATTTAAAAAGTGGGGGTTAATTTATGGGGGATAATTTGGGCGGGGGGAAGGGTTTTCCCCGCGTGCAGGAGGGTTTTTTTGAAAAAACTTTATTTTTTTTCTGTAGGGAAAAAGTAAATTTGAAAAATGTAGGTAAAAATGCTATTTAAAATGGCGCAAAAAAAAGGGGGGAACTTTAAAAACGAAAATTTTGCTCTGAAAAAAAATAAAGGTGTATTTAAAAAAAAAGAAACAACCCCCGCCAGTTGGCGAAAAATTGTAAAAAATTAAAAAGAAGGGTATGAGGAAAAAAATTTTCAAATTAAAAGAATTTTTATTTTGGGTCAGGAAAAAAGATATAAATTTACAAATAAATGAATTGTTATCCGGAAGGCGATTATTTAAAAAAGATAATAAAAAATATGTTTTTGATCAAAAAAAATACTGTGAAAGATATGAAAAACACCTAATTTTGATTTGATACAAACCCTTTTAAAAACAAACCCAAAAATACTACCCAGCAGAAAAAAGGGTATAGTTTTTTTATAAAGATAAAAATCTTCAAAATTTTTGATTGGTTCAATGGGATTTTTAAAGGGAAATTTTAAAAAAAAAATAAACTGGCCCAAACCCGGGGCTAAATTTTGATAATGCCCGAAACAAATTTCTTTTTAATTTAAAAAAAAGCAGGGTTTATTAAAATTTAAAAAAATTTTTTAAAAAAAAATGGAAAAAAATGTATAAAATTTTTAAACTTTTAAAAGGGGTTTTGAATTTTAAGAATTTTTTGAATTAACAAAAGATTTTCAGAAAAAAACTGGGGCAAAGAATTTAAATTTCTTTGGATTTTAAAAAATTTAGCTGAAAACTAGAGCAATCAGGCTGGATTTAAAAAAAGGTTTTGGGTGCAAAAAAATTTTTAGCTCAAGGGGTAATGAAATTTAAAAGTAAAAATCCCTTTTAAAAATTATTTATTTTTTTTTGGAAATTTAGAGAAAATTGTTTTCCCCCCCAGCCAAAATTTAAATTTCATTAAAATTTAAAAACGACGAGAAAAAATCCATAGGGCGCTGGAGTTAAATGGAAAGGTTTTTAAAATTTTCAAAATTAAACTTATGGGTTCCCTTGGGTTTTTCTTTAAAAGGGTAAATATGTTTTAAATTTTTGGGAAAATTATTTGAAAGCAAAAAAGTGGAAATAAACTTCGAGAAAGGGTCACCCCAATCACTTTTAAAACAAAGCAAAAATTTTTTTTAGAATAACAGCTGGTGAAGAATCCTAAACAATTTGGGGTTTTTTTATTTTAACAAAAAGCTAATAAAATAAATTTCCAAAAACAAAACCCCCATTTATTTGATAAATTTTAAAAAAATGCTAATAATAAAAGTAACTTTTTCCCAAACTTGTCGCTAAGTTGGAAAAAGGGTTTTTTTCCCCCAAAAAAGAATTTCGTATAACAGAAAATAGAGAGTAATAGTTATTTTTACAAAAAAATAAAAAAATACTGGTCCCCCTTTAAAAAAATCAAATTTGAGGGTTTTTTGGATTCCCTTTTTCATTTTTAAAATTTGGGAAATTTAAAAAAAAAGAAAATTTCATCTTTAATTTCCCAACACTTAAAAAGATTTCAAAAAAAAAATGTACCCCAGCCCGCAGCTATTCTTGCTATGCCATTGAATGTAAAAAGAAAACCCGTTTAAATTAAAAACCCTTTGGGAAAAGAAATTGTTTTTTTGTTTTAAAACAACGTCTTTGGGGAAAAAAAAATAATTATATAAAATTTAAAATTTTACTTGAATAAAAATAAATTTATCAAAAAGGGCAAAAGCAAAAAACTTCGAAATCAAAATAGGATAATGCCCCTTTTACTTTAAAAAAATTTTAATAGAAAATTAAATGGGACTTTTAATCTTTTAAAAACAGACACAAAAAATAAAATTGATAGGGGTAAACGAATAAACTGGGTTAGAAAAATTTAAAATATCGCGGGAACAAAAAGCGCAGTCAAAAAGGGGGTTTTTTTTAACACTTTAATTTTCCCTTTTTTACAAAATTGGCTCCAAAAATTTAGCCCCTTTTGGGTTGGGGGCATTAAGTGGTTTTTGGGTAGCACTGGTGTAGAAAATAAATTGGAAAACCCGGATGGGATCTTAGGGAAGAAAAAAAGAAAAAAATATTAACCCCTTTATTAAAAACCAGCAAAAAAAAACAATTAATGAATGACGGGGGAATTTAAATTAAATTTAAAAAAACGGCAAGATGGGGGTTTCCCTTGGGAATTTTGCAGCAATCCTCTAGGAATTACCTTTAATTACATCATTATTAAGTGGGCAAGGTTTTACAGGGTTTGATGCACCAACGAGTTCCATATAGACGAATTCCCAGGGTAAAAAAAAAAATAAATTTCCTGAACCAAACCATTATCTAACTTTGAAATAGAACAATGGGTAAAACACTTAGGTATTCAAACTTTCAGGAGGCGTTTCAGTAGAAATAATTTTACCTGATCTCTAATGAGTAAAGATATGCGGGATAATAAATTTTAGATGAACTTTATTGGACCGGGTACACATTGGGTGTGTTATTACAGAATAATTATCTTCGACCCCTTTGGACTTTCACTCCACAAAGAGGTAATCAGTTACATTCCAGGTTTGAATTATAACAATATACAAGTATCAAGATAAAACAAAGTGTGTTGTGTGTTATCATTGTTTATATTTCATACATTTTTACAAACAGAAAGTGTCTTTATATGATATATTATACAACATTTAAACATCAATAATCAAAAAGAAAATGAACAAACAATAATAAACTATTTCACTGAATGTTTAAAAATAGTCAAGCGTTTGCTGACACATAGCTTTATGAATACTCTATTGAACGCCTTGTTTTACAAACTTAGATTTCAATTTACCGCATGAAGCACACGCGGCTTTTATCATTAATCTTTCCGTTTTTTGTTGTAAACATATTGAGGATTTACATTATCGGTGTATGTTCGTTCTTTTAAACAATATATTTGTTTTTTGTAAACTCATTTATATATATTTTAATTATAAAAAGGACTCGTCGGTTCCCGCCTGTATTCTATTTATAAGTAGTATAGAGTATGATGGTTCCGGGGGGGATTTGGCCTGAGGGTGTTCTTAAATCAATAAAATGGGGTTTTATGTCGAGCTGTCTTACTTTTTGGGTTGATGGGTAAGTTATGTCGAGCTGTCTTACCCTTTGGTTTGATAGATAAACACTTTTTTAGGCTTCAAAGTGTCCCGGAACCATCATACTCTATACTACTCTCGCTTCGTGTCTCGTCGGAATGTTGAGTCTCGCCCGATTCTGCGAGACGCAAGATTTCATGATTATGGCATAACCTAATTTATTTTAGGAACCCATGCACGTTGCAAGAGCTTTTTCAATGGGGGATCTGACAGTAAAAAGTCTCGGAAAATGGCGATATTTTCATATATTTCTGATGGAAACAAAAACACGTGTGGGTGGTCTTCTCATTTTGTCCCTTAGATCATTAAGGGGCCTTCGTGGCCGAGTGATTTCAAAAAACACTTGTACCTAACCTCTGTAGGTTCGACACTCAATCGGGTCGTCGAACTATTCATGAGAGGAAGCCCTCCAGGGTCCAAATGCGAAATAATTATCCGCGTGCGCACGCAATTACCCCTCTAATACGTAAAAACTATCGCGTGCGCACTTATAAAATGAGGGAAAACGTTTTAAGTATCGGTGCGCACTCAAAAAAAGAAAAAACATAAAGTTCTTTACGCCCCGTAAAAAACAACCTTTTTTTTTTTTAGAAAAAAATAAAATCATTTATAAAACTTAAAGCATTGGAAAGAAAAGTGTCACAATTAACGATAAGAATTGATTCTCTGCATATGTGTTTAGGTTCTGAATACTGGTAGAAATTTTCCTTTTGACATGCAGAACAGTGATAGTCTTTTAGTTAATATATGACTCGTATGCAAAGGCAGGAAGTTTTTGATTGACCTGAAGTGACTTAAAACGTAATATGAATACAGAAAACAGATAACAATGTTTGGTAGCCGGTAAACGGACGGGCATAATTATTCATACCTTTTTAGAATTTTATGGAAGAATAAGAGACAAATGTGTCCTTTATATTGTGTGTCGAACATAACTGTCTCATTACCAAACATGAGACAAATGTGCTCCGAGGCAAATGTGCTCCTACATAGATATTCTTCATATAAAATACATTACAATAATGCGTATTTTTGTGAAGAAAAATATAAATCTATAAATATTTGTACGAATTCTGTTTCTCAATATTTATGTTAACTTACAAGTAAAACATAATGTTTTCAAACAAAATTGATACAATACCGTTCTGTGGAGACCGTGTTCTTAATTTCTTGGCACTTTTGTGGCTTGTTTCTTCTAATTTCCTTTTGTATGGTTTCTTAAAATGAAAATAAAGTGTAATTTTAACTCACTGCATTCATGGACTTGATTGATTTAATTAGCATTGAGCATTACATGAAAAGAATAACACATACCTATCTCATTGTCTGATAATATAACACGAGCAATGCATGGATTTCCTTCATGCTTAATTCAGTAAAATCCATGTTAAAGTCACCTTCTAGTATGCAATATTAAACAAAAGTTAACATATTTCTAAGAATATACATATATAAGAAAAAAGTTGTATAACTTTTGGGTGGTGTTTGCACCAACACCAATAATCATTTTTGGAAAAGTCGAGCTTTAGCACTATTGCTGTTTAGATTACTTTAAAAAAATTTTAATGTAAATTTCACAAGCCTAATAGATGAACATATATCTGAAGCGAATACAACAGTAACTTGAAAATCAAAATTTTCATTTCTCATTGTGTTCTATAGCAATTATTTTTTGTTAGAAAAAAAACAATATCAGGTTATTAGATGCATCATATGTTACCGTGGACATGACAGGGTAATCGGCCTCACTGTCGGAATCAACAATAAGATTGTGAGATGGCGTTATTCCATTGGTCACCTGAAAACGTAAAAAGCACAGTTCTTTAAAACAAAAAGGTCTTAAGAAATTGAAGACCATATAAATCTGTCATTTGCAATCTGACAATTAAAATAAAATAGTCGTGGAAAATGAAATAAGAATTTAACAATTATTTCGCCAAGAGTAAGAAAAACTCGTGTAGAGTAAAATATGCATTACATTAAATACACTTACACCTAGATATTTGAAGACAACGTTACGTAACTATACATGAATAACATGTTTAAACTTACAATGCACACTGTATGTTTCAATAAATTAAAATAAAATTATCAGTAAAATAACGGCAATCATGTTTCTAATATAAACAAATCTTTGGATCTAAAACATATATACAGTTAAACCAGTGAACAGACGCCGAAATGTCCCATCGAGACAATGGTCTTTATTTGGAGGTTTATTTGTTCTGTATTATTAATAAAATGTTGTCGAAATGTACAGGGTATTGTTTTCTATCACTTCATTCATTTCATTATACCTCACGTAATTTTTTTACTACATATGTATATTATAGCCTAATGTGACGCCGTGTGGTGTTATTAAGATATGTCTTCTTTGAAATGAATATCACCTGGTCAATAATTATTTTGCAATATTTCCAAGGGGCGAGTAGAAAACGTGATTTTCTAGTTCTCTTCCCTTGCCGCAATCAATTATGACTGGCTCGCATAGCGGTGAAAATGTTTGTTCAGAATAATGAAAATAAATAACACACATGTCTCTCGGGGTAGTACAGTATATCCTTGAACTCGCCTCAGTCATCGGTTCCAACTCGGGTGTTATTTCAGTTCTTGAGTTGTTAATATGCACTATAACCCTGAGAGACACGTGTTATTTTTATAACAATCATAGGTCAAATAGATATCATATAGAAATTACTACTTGTGCAATTCAACTGCAAACCGAATTTCCTGCAACACTGTCCACGTTTTAAACAAAAAAAACTGAAGTCACTATCTTGAATTTTCTAAATTTATGTTTGATATAACAAGACCATAGAACATTTACCTTGGTATTTTGTGACATATCACCGGCTGCTATACAAAGGGATTTTTTTCTTTTCATTTTCTTCTCAATATCTGTTGATGTAAATGAATAAAGTGTGCTTCTGTTTAATCAGACATTTTAAAGACATTTGTTATTGTTTCCTTGACAATACTGATGAACGTAAGCCGTAACAAGTGAGACCTAGGCGACAATTCATTCTTCTATAACAAGACTAGATTTTTATTTACAATTTCCTTAGAAACAAAAAAAAATGCTATGTTTTTTGTTGTACTGCAGACATTAACGACGGTCAGTACCAAACATGCGTTCCTAAATTATGCACTTTTCTGTTACACATACATGTAATTGTTTTGAACAGGTATGTGTCTTTCTTGCAGGAAGATACCACACCAAGGATTCTGGGTAAAAACGAGCATGACAATAAGCCATTCTTTGGACTTGAGCTTGCAAACCGTCATTGGTCAGTTACCTTTTTATGGACTAAGACTTGAAAACAGTCCGTTATCTGGACTCGGCTTTGCAAAAAGTCCCTGGTCAGAACCTATTCTTTGGACTAGGATCCGCAAACAGCCTGACAAGTACTTATTAATTGGACTTTGGCTTGCAATACAGTCTGTGGTTATTTTTGGACTAGGAATCGCTAGAGTCCCTGTTTAATAACCATTCTTTGGACTTACAAACACTCCGTGATTTATATATTCATTTTTGGACTCAAGCTCAGAAACAGTACACGGCTAGGAACCGTACGAAAAACTCGAGCTTACAAATCGTCCGGGAATGAAAATAACAGTGTTTTTGTTTTGTTTTTAAATATGATGTACATATAGCCTAGGGAATATGTATTTGTACTAACCTCCTATAATGTATCTTCTCAAATTTTGTAAAACACACGACCATTCTCCTGTAAATATATAAAATACAGGAACCTCTTCACCTTTCCGTCTGTTTTCTTTCCCTGTGCCGGCTATTACAGCTTCTATCCTCCCTTTCTCTTTCAGAAATCGTCTCCATAGTTTCTGCGTGTCACAGGGGATATTTCCACATATTTTTTTTTCATCTAATTTTACCGCAACAGCTTTAGTCTTGGTTATAAAGCATTCATGACGGCCAATTGTAGGTACCCATTTCTTCTTAGTTTTGAAGAAACCCCGTATGGTCATTCCGGAAATGGAAAAATCTAGTTGATTTGTTTGGCTTCCGAGTGTTTCCGCCTATATTGAACAATTCATTATTATAATTTAAAAACGTGTAATAGAATTCGGAAGACTGTGGGTTTTTTTAATTGATGATAAACTTGTAAAATTTTATAATATAATAATACTTTGTAACCTGTATAATCATCCCTACCCTAACCAAATTAACTATTATCTTTTAATACATACTTATGATTGAAATATGGAGAAATATTGATGAAATAAAATGCGTATTTTCATTTTTTTCATATTTTCACTGCAAAATTTTCTAATAAATTTAGCAAAACTAAAAATTTAAGAGGCATTCTTTCCAATGAAAATGGCAAAAAAGAGAAAAATGTATATAAAAAACACAATTCAAGTTGTTTTGTTTAACAAAAACACGATTTATTTTCATCTTGTGATATTAATATTATCATATTTCACCCGTGACTACCACAACTCATGTACGGTAATATTTATTTTCCCACCACTCGGTGAAAACAAATACTTTATTTATAGAAAAAAAACTTACATATCCCCTATTTATTAGTTTACAAACGAAATCTTATATTGAGAATATTAAAGCAGTTTTAAACTATCAAAAACAGAATGCCAGAAACATAAATACACACCAGCCTCCCGACATTCCTCTGAAGTAGTGTGTCAGTCTGGTCACCATCGTGGAACTTCAGTGACTTTCTCCGCTTTGCTTTCTGATTGGTTGCTAAATCAAATTAAAGAATATAATGTATAGCAAACACATTCATACAAATCAGTACTAGATAGCTACATTACAATTCACCGTGATAACATTTTTTAATATAAATTTTACAGGACTCATTAAAATATCGGAATGGTAAAATATAACCTGTGTACTAGTCCAGTGGATGTCTTTATCGGTACACACTTATTAAATAACATTGTATTTAAATATAACACTTTCAACTCCTGGGCCAGTAACACAATAGTAATAAAAAAAAATCTATTCGAACCTTCCTTGCTTTATTTGGGTCAAGTTTACTTCATTAAGGATAATATTGAAACAATTTATATATGTAAATTTACAAAAAAAGAAAATTTACTATATACATGTAATTATAAATGAAATATTGAGAAATATTGATGAAATTAAAGTCGTATTTTTCATTGTTCGCATTTTTACTGGTGTCTTTCAAATTGCTGTGTCAAATAGAGAAAAAAGTATATCATAAACAGAAAATTCATGTTTTTTTTCTATATAGATTAAATTTCATCTTGTGCAATGAAAATTATCATTTTTCACTTGTGGCTACCGCCACTCATAAAAATTGTATTTCAGTCGATGAAAATAAATCTTGTATTTATTGAAAAACATTTTAATGTCCTATATATTTTTTCACCGGTTATGAATATTCTAATACATGTGTGTGTGTGTGTGTGTGTGTGTGTGTGTGTGTGTGTGTGTGCGCGTAGCGCGTGTGTGTGCGTGTGCGCGTGCGCGTGTGTGTGTGTGTGTGTGTGTGTGTGATCTTTATTTAGTAAAAATGTTAAAATCGTAAATGTGAGCTGGTATATACCTTTTTCTATCACAATCTTTGTGTTAATCAGTAGTGGTGTAGAATTCCCAGTAAATAAGTATATCACAGGAACTTCTTCCCCTTTAGTCCTGTGTACTCTATGGTGACCATAATGCACAATTGCCTCTAGTTTACCTCCAGCTTGAAGCCACTCTCTATATTTTTTCGACCATTCTTTGGGCACATTACCAACAACTTGTTCATCTTTGAAAGCTGATATTGCACCATTTTCCCCTATTTTACAGTCAAGTCGTTCTCCCCTATATGGTACCCAGTCGTACATATGCACAAAGAATCCCCTTGTTGATAAACTTTCAATGGTGAATTGTATACAACCAGTCATACTGGACTGAAAATGGTATAAAAAAGAAAAATGTATATCAAACAAACATTCAAGCAAGACTCAGTTGATCTGTATTAGATATGAGGATTTCATTTGAGTTATTTATGTCAAATTTCTAACTTTGAATATTTGTTTGACTTGAAAACGTTTCAAAAGTTGCCAGCTTTCTAAACAAAGAATATATCATAATTGTGACCACTACTCCCAGTTTCGTTGATCTTAAACACGAAACAGTTTGCAGTTTCCATAAAACCACATACTATAATGATAAAGTGAATGACATGTTTTTTCTCTTCTAAAAGTCAGCCTTACTCATAACAAGATCTTAAGATTGCGCCATTCTAACCTATTTTGTCTCTTATAAACGTCAGTAGCTATAACTATTGGTTGTATATTTGTTAACCATTAGCAATGAACAGTGTGCCTCCTTCAAAAGTCTATAATTATGTCCATTAATATTGACCTGACACTTCATTAACTTTCGTAAAGGTCATATGAATAAACACCGACCAGTATCTATCGAATATATTGATTTATTATATAATCTATAAATAGCTTTGAAATGCCTTTCCGTGATTGGCTAACAAGCAACTTTTTGTAAAAAAATAACAGGTCAATATCAGAGTATATTCACTGTTTTTTCCCTAAAAATAGATTTTCAGAGTATATTCACCGGTTTTTCTTCTAAAAATAGATTTTCTGGAAATCCCTAAAAGACGCGAGACTTTGACTTGACATCACGCCAAGTTTGTTGCTATTATTCTATATTTTATACTAAAAACGTTGAGTGGGGTGTACATAAGAGTCAAATTAGTCTATTTTAGTTAATGTTTTACATTTTTAAGAACAATAGGTATTAGCATGCCAATGGAAAGGGCCCAATTATGGAAACAGTAGACAAGCTAAAAATAATGATTTCCGTCGTATATGCAATGGCAGATGTGATAAGCCATATAAAAGCTATTTATAAATTATATAATAAAACAGATATGTACTTTTTAGCTGTTGAATATGATGTGATATGTACTGAAAAATTGATATTGACCTCGGCTATCGCCTCGGTCAATAATAATTTTTTCAGTACATATCACATCATATTCAACAGCTAAAAAGTCCATATTTGTGTAATATTTGCTAACATCACTCGTCAGTGATGTGTGGTGTAATAGATGTCGGACTACCGATCTGAAGGTCTCTGGTTCGATTCCTAACCAACACCACGTTATGATTTTTACCATTTACTTGCAAGAATTAATTTGACACCTGGTTTAAGAATACCTTTTAAATGGTGTTTTATACACAATTATATCTTTTATTACAGTATCTTTCAACGGTTCTTTTTGGGACATTATGCAATCGTATACGCTGTAGCGCATACACGTTATAAAGGCGTTATTAAAAATACTACACAGAAAGTACATACAACAAAAAGGTTTGCAATAGTTTTAAGAGAATGGTAATTTTAAAATTAAAATAAATAAGAAAAGTTATTAATCGTTGAATTTGGATTCGAACCTAACAATTAACGTCAACATTCTTCCAGTGAAACTGCACTAAAAGGGATTTTTAGTTTACACCATTTTAACAATTGTTCCCTGCGGTCTGGAGACCGCAGGGTATTGGTACGCGTTTAACTTTTGAGGCATGGAGGAGCACGTGACCTGTTTTCGGTACATGGAGGAGCATGTGATCTGTAAACGTTACATGATTGGTTCATTGACCCTTTCGAAAACCTGGCTAAATACCGTTTGCCGGTACGTGACGGATTTACCTCTAATGAATTAGGCAGAGTTACATCTAATTAGAACAAAAAAACTATTACGTGATATTTCTAATTTTCTATAAATATTTTACCGTTTAAGGTTGAAAAACTTGAATGATGTGTTTGAAAATTATCAATGTTTCTTTAATATGTATCTGAAATTTTACAGACAATAAATTGTTTATACTGAAAATCTACAATATTAGAATATTCGATCGTAGTGGCATCTGCCATAATAAATAGAGATATTTTCTGCGTAAACTTGTGTGTTTACTTTATTTTTTTGCTCGGAATTATTCATCAAATGGTAGGCCTATTTAATCATTTTCTTAAAAAGAAATAATTGTTTAATGTTCGACCTTCTCCGGTCATCAACGGTCACCAGTTTCCAAAGACCTTCTTCTATATTGATCGACTATATGTTGTCCCCCATAACACTACAATGTTGAAAATAGTTAAATGAAATATCTTATATCATTAAAAATGTTCCCCGCAGGAAACCATTTTACTTGTATATATACTTACATTCATATCGATTTACAATTAGATCGTAACGTTTACGGAATATACCGACTACAGGGTCAAGTGCAAGAGTGCCAGGTCAATGTTGTTGGACAATAATATCAACAATAACTCTGGGTGACCTATTAGGACTATGTTTACTAATTTTGAATAGCAATGAACGTTTGATCTCATAGCAGTTTCGAGCAATCTATAAAGATGTTAAAGTTGCACGCCTCCAGATGAGCCAAAATATTTCAAGAAATTCAATCTTTAGAAAAATGTATTAAGATCATAAGAAAAGTAAAAAGATTCAATATTTAATTAATTATTTATATGTTATGTGCGATTAATTACTGATTTTGCAGTATCAATCTCTATAATTCTACTGCGTTACTAAGGCAGTAAGAGGTAATTATGTATATTTTCACCTCTTTTTTGGTAATTTACGTAGATTGTAAGTGCCGTTTGCAATGTGTAAAATACTTTCTTTGTTCACTTCACAATATTTTACTTTTTTACACAATATTTTTGTTGTTGAAAACTTCATGAAATAACTTTTTTTTCGTTTTAGGTCTAATGTTTAATAATTTCTATATCTTAACAACAGTAGGGTGCGAAATCGAACAGCGTTATACGAAAATCGGCACCGGGAACCATTTCCGCTTGAAAAAATAACATTAGTGATTTAGTCTTGTAAGAATCGAATTGATATCGGTCTGAGCGGTGTCGTTTTGATGCGAAAAAAATTAACCACTCAGGCCTACGGCCTTCCTGGTCAATTCCTTCGCATCAAAACTCCAAACCGGTGTTAAATGGCCGATAAACACAGCTCAGACCGATATTATTTCTTAAATATATACTGTACGATGTGGACCTTGAAACCTAAAATTTGATTAACCCATTACTGCATGAGCATTTTGTGAAAAAATGGCTGTTTTCATTGAAAAGTCTCCCTTTACAAGTTCAAATTGCTATAAAACTACAAAACTGCTTCAATACTTATGAAACTTGGCACAAATGTTGACTGGACCATTGCCTTTGTAACAACATGCTCAGTTTTAAATTTCCTGTTATCATGGCAACGAGGGAACATCTCAAAGTTACCAAATTCACTATTTTGTGTTGTTTTTTCCATCAAAATTGATTTCAAAGTACTTCAACTTCTCAATATATTGAGATAGAGTCAAAGGTTTTTCAGAATTGGTTACACGTTACCTTATGATCGACCTGGGGTCATTTTAGCCTCTCACATTATAATTTTCTTGGCGATGAGGGGGCTGCCGCCCCCTTCAAACCTTCAAACAGAAGGGGGCACATCTCCCTTCTTGCAACCCCCTGATGTATCTTTTGGACCGGGGCGGGGCCGAAAAAGTGGTCACTTTTTTAATACAAAAACAAGTGTTGGGGGCCTAAATAAGGCATTTTTCACCATTTATACAACAAAAAGGGGGGTGAAAAAAGCGTTAAAAGGCATGTATATCCGGTAATGGGTTAAACGCCTATGTCTACGTACAAGACACATTCAATGGCGTTGTACAATGTCTAGAAGACATTAACAATAGTAAATTAAGGTACAAGTCATTTTATATTGACATCAGTGAAGAAAAAATATAAATGTTTTAATGGAACAACACACACACATACATGCACGCACACACGTGCACGCGTATACATACACACAAATCTCTCTCTATCTTTCAGTCTCTAAGACAAATATTTACAGGCGGTAATTTTCTAACCACAGGTCAATATTCTACAGTTTTTTATACATCACAATTTATTTCTAACCAAAAGGTATGTGCTTAGAATAGGGAAAAGAAGTCCTTACACAAATGTTCTTCTTTTTAAAAGAATTTTTTGTGAATATGCATTTGTTCCTCTATACTTATAGAATCATTTTCCAATTTTCTTTTTTTTCCCTCGTATTATTCATAGGAACTCTGGAACAGGACCGCATATTGCGGCGCATAAATCCGAATCCGTACCGGCTTTACATATTGTTTGTCCGACCTTTGAATATCTTTTCATATTATGCGAGCGGGTGGTCTTTAATTATCTAATCTCAATTTAATATAATCTGCTAATTTAAAAATCAGTCAAATTTACGGTATATTGAAAAAAGAAAAGGAGTGACATCCGCCATTTACCGCAACGTTCGGCGTAAGTTATCCCCCTTGATATGCTTGATTTTTGTTTTAATTTTTCTAGTACTCTCTTTATGTCACTCAATACATGGAAAACTTTCACATTTCCTAGTAATGAATACCAGATGAGTGCCTAAAATATTTATCTATGGATCATGTTTTAATATTCCTTTTTTCAGTTAGGCAAAATCAGTTGGACCATATTACTAAAGTGTCTGTTTTCTCCATGTTAAAAATCAAAACACGAATACGCCCGTTATAATGCCGCCTATACATGTCAACGCGTGTAAACAATAAACCGTGACGATACCTGATAGTTGAACAAAATTCTGGAAAAAAAATAGTAATCAATTGTAGCCAAAGGGGAAAACGTTGCGGCGAATGGCGGATGTCACTCCTTGTCTTTTTTTATAATACCGTAAATTTTGAAGACAGATTGGGTTCAATTGAACCATATACTCGGATAATACTAATTTAAAAGATATTTAGATGTAGCAGAAACGTTTTAACAACCGTTACACGATCGAAAATATGCGCCGCAATCTGCGGTCCCGTTCTCGAGTTCCTATGGTATTATTACTTTTACTATTGTAAGAATTTTTAATTTGTGTAGCAAAAACTAAAGGTAAACAAATCTTGATTATTGTTTATACCAAAATTGGCATGGTTATTTCCCCTGTATGCGCATTCATTGATGTAACCGTCTTGTACTTTCGTTTTCGATACACGGCAATTTTGCACATACTAAAAACTTTTGCATCTCGAGTCAAGTTGTTACGAATGGAATCATATTACTATATTGCTTTCTATATGATTCCATACGTAACGACTTGATTGGAGAAGCATAAATGCTACACAATGATTTTGATACCCTCTCAGACATGGATAAAGTAGGATATATTCTCTCTAATGCAGGTATTGTAATTTAAATGCAAAAACCTGTTTAAACATTCTGAATTGAAAAAAACACTAATTCTATACAACTGACATTATTTTAGATAAATTGTGTGTGTTTTCAGACAAACATGTACATGTACTATCTAGAAAATACCTTTGCTAATAATCTTCCAAACCTGATTTGATTAAATATAACTACAATATTAATTTCTATATGGAATATCTAAGGTACTGTGTTACACCAGTATTTTAATTTACTTCAGTAGCATATTTACAACTCTGGTTTAAATAGGCAAGTGTATTTTAGATTTTATATGTAAATAATAATTCAACTTTTAGTCTCTTGTAAATCTTATAGATTGGCATTGTGCAATCATATTGTATTTTATATGTTTTTTTTTTAATTTGTACATTGGTTAGACTGTAATAAACTGTAATAATACTAAAATGCTAAATCTGACACATTTATATCTGACATTAATTCAATGAACTATCATGCTTTGGGATTTTAGTAGAACCAATAATAGACTTGTAAGTACATTTTGGATACAATGCATTCTGTTACATTATGTTCATGTACACATTTGTATAAGGTCAAGCAATACTTATAATCATAAATATTAAACATTTTATATATGAGCATATTATAATAATACAAGGAGACAATGTTTGCCATTGATTTGAAGTGGCAAAGATACATAAGGAACAACATAATAACCTGAATAATCAAAGAAATATATACATATATGAAAATATACAGTAGTGTTTCTAATATAAATTAAAATGTTACTGATAATATATGTATGTTACAATATGTTGATAGTAAGTAATTTTATTATTCAATGTCTGTCATTGTATTGTATTGTATTGTATTGTATTGTATTGTATTGTATTGCTCAATATATGGTAGTTATATATATATATATGGGCTAATTATTCTAAACCAGACTGTTGTTGTTCATGTGTGGATTTTGAAATAAAGAATGTTCTATCATTACCTATAGTTTTGTTATTGTATGGTAGAAGTAGGCCTAATGTTATCATTAATGCTGAAATAAATTGTTGTTGTTGTAATTTACATAAAGAATAGTCACATGTAACAGCTGAAGTAAACAATAGCAAAAAACGCAACAGTCGGTTGCACTACGTATTCCGCCATCTTGAAACTACTTAAACTATAAATCTTATTCAAATACATTAAATACAATTTAAATACATTTACATTTATGTTCATTTTTTATTTACATGTATATTCGTAACGTAATGATTTAGAAATAAACAAGTACCTGATCAAGTCTTTGTGTTGAGTTTTACAAAGCATGAAAACGTGTCTATTTCCCATAATATTTGGTACTCATCGTTACAACGTATAGATGAGTACCTTTGTACTAGCGTTTTTAATACAAAACCGGTTTATGTACATTCTTTGTTCGCTCGAATGATTCGAGCTGTATTTAATCGGGGTTTTCATATTCGGAAATCAGTTTCTAGCGAGCAACTCTTAGGGACACTCACACATTCAAATTCAATGCCAAAATTATTTTGTGAAAAGTACAATTTTTTAAAAGCGTACAAGCTTTGCCTAAATAAAATGAATTGTTTAATTTTTAACGGAAACATAGTGTAGACATTTTACATCGTTTTGTATAAATGTTAAATGTTTTGCAAGGATGAGGCCCAACATTCGGTGGTATTTGACAGTCACTTTCCTGTGATGGCAAATGGGCACAGGTTTCCAAAAATATTTTCCCTTAAATAACACTGAAATCAATTCAAAAACTTTAAAAGGGGTTTTTTGTTTTTGGTTTTTCCTGGACGAGTCGACCACGATTTGCAAAACATTGATATGACAGAGATAAAATTTATTAACCAATTACAATATTTATTGCTTTATGCTATACATGTATTTGCACGTTTATTATGTCATCTTGTGTACTGTCCCTAAATACAAGCGTTCTCGCATATTGCATTCGAGTGTTTTTAGTTTTTATTTGTAGAAGTATTGTAGGAAATAAGATGGTACACTCATTTAAACGTCGCGTCTTTACGCGCGCCTACGAAAAGTAGGTCAAGGACTTGTAAGTTAATTATTTAGACACCATTACGAAAATGTCTACATCCCTCCTTTTTGCTGTTTAAATAGTTTATTTTTTCCTATAAGCGTCGAACTATAACTGCCTTTATCAGCAAAAAAAAAAACCAAAAAAAAAACTAATGCTCTTTCTAACATTTATGGAACGCCAAATTTAGATTAACTCAATTATTCTCATATCTATGAGTAGCTTTGAAATGCCTTTCTCTGATTGGTTAAAAAATAACTTCGTGTAAAAGATAACAGGTTAATATCAGAGTATATTCATTGTTGTTGTTGTTTTTTGTTGTTGTTATTGGCAGAATTGTACAGATCTCTGAACTGATAAGGGGAGATCGCTGCGTAGGAGATTGAAAAAAAAAACGTTGTGGGACTCGCAAATAAGTCAATTTAGTTGCCGTCCTTACGTTTTTAAGAACTTTACTAATTTAGCGTTGGCTTTTTTAAATGATAGGACTAAATTATGGGGGAAAAAATCAAGCTGAAGAAATGTCGATTTCTATCGTATTCAATGGCAGATTTGATAAGCCATATAAATACTATTTTGTATAGTTCTTTTCTCCTGAAAAAATGACATAATACTTTTTTGGTCAGTTTTATTTCCTTTGAATTTTATTGCATTAATCTTAATCTCCTCATTTCTATTTCTTATTCTAAATATTTAAGGGCTAGGTGTCAAGATCAGCCGATATAAAATGGGCACTGAATTTCAACTCAATTACCGTGATATTAATGATTTGCCATAAATTGAATATTCAAGTCTATTGAAAAAAGTACACGGGAATAAAACTCCCAGGGACTACATTGTATATCCAGAGCTCCGTTATTTTTTCTACCTCCGATAAAAAAAGTTAACAAAACGTTTTTAAGGTTACAATAATACCGCATATTATCACATAAACCGCGGCGCAGGAGTGTAATAATGCCATTTATTACATGTTTTGCGGTAGTTTATAGAAATATATAAGTGAAATAAAAAAAACTATTATTTCACTGTTTGAACAGTGAAATTATCAAATTGATAATGTTCACTGTTTTAAATTTAAGCCCGTTACGTTGTTTCAGTGAAATACCAGCGTGCACAGTACTGGAAACAAACTTACTGACATTACGTCGTAAATGACGTCACTTTGTATTATTATTATTATTATTTGGCGCTCTTTTCATTTAGCACTAGGTTAAAACGTCTTTTGAAACGTTATTTTGCATATAAAAAAAAGAAAATTTGTTTAGTTTAGTGTAAGATCGAAATATATTTCATCTCGTGAACACCAAAAGTTCATATTTCACTCGTGGCTGCGCCACTCGTGAAATATTCCTTTTGGTACTCACTCGGTGAAATATATTCCGATATTACGCTGAACTAAACAAATATCCTCTATCTAATAAAAACGATATTACACTAGTGTAATAATTCTTTGACGTGACGTCGTTTGCGCTATTTAAAAATAGCGTTAAAGCGCGCTAATGTTAGTGTTACACTGTAGGCGCGTCAAATGACTCGATTTAACTACATTGTATAAATCGTTCTTCTTTTGATTATGTCATAAAAAGAAGATTATATTCGTGTAAATTCAATGCTAAATTTATTGAACTCTTGGAATGAAACAATATAATGCTCGCCAGTGGCTCGCATAATATGATTTTATTAAACTCTTCCATTAAACCTACACTTATTAAATATCCTCTATTTATTGATACTTTCTGCATTTAACAAAGTATAAGCCGAGTTTAAAAGTTAGTTTACTCTAAATCAAGTTTGACGTCATGTATATAAAAAGAAAGAAAATCCAATATGGCCGCCAAATCACGAATACTTTTTTCATCTTTCTGTACGTCTGGTTATGTTGTATTCGTATATGTTGCTTAGGCGTTCCATATTATCTTAACCCAGTTCTAATATTTATAGCGCGTAACGTTTATCTGGGAAACCTGATGCTTTAAATTTAGAATTCAGACAAGATTAGAATTACAAACGCATTAATCTATTACGTTGTTAATTCTTATATCATTTTTGATGTATTATCAATTTCTCATGAATCATTACATAACATATCAGCAATTACAAAGAATTGTCATCAATGTTTAACATGGTTAATGTTATGTAACGAGGTATGTCACGATTTACCAATGCGGAAGTAATGTTAATCAAAGCACTGAAATTGCTGTATGCGGTAAGCAGCATAGGTAGTCAGACTATTCTCCCCCTTACCACTTCCTTTCTTGACATTCCTATTTTGGGAATTCCTCTCCATTTTTATTATTTTCAATAGATTGATATTGATTGATTAACATAATTATCAATTTATATAAGTAAATAGCAGATAATTACACAATTATGACAATATGAATATGGGTTAATATTTCTGAACATTTTATGTAATAAATGTTTCACTTTTCTTCAACAATTTTCCTGGTGGTACTATCTATCGGGAATGTTATCCCTATTTGACCGACCATCAAATAATACAGAATAAATTAACCTCATACGAGTGGCAACCATCTTTGTTTTAATTAGTAGTGTAGTACCAGGGATGACTTTATAATAATCGAAAGTTAAAAACATGAGTAAATAGTCCATTAGGTAGTTGTTGAGTTAATGAAAGCTGAATGAATAAATCAATATTTAATTTTTTTTTAGAAATTTGTAAAAGTAGATAGAACAGCTGATCATCAAAATGTATAATGTGGAAGTGTGCTATTTGTATGAGATTACTAACTGGGGACAGGGTGCGCGATACTGCTGAACTTTCAATTCTCACTTTTTCACGACAAATACTTAATTAACATTTGTAAAATAAAGTTAAATCCATAGAAATAATAGACATATATTTATTTGTATAAGTTCAGTCTAAAACAAAATGGAATAACACTTGCACTTTTACTTTCATGAAACCGCAAAAACACGATTGTTCACAATCTCCATGCAGTGATCTCCCCTTAATTATTCGGCGTAGACTGTACTGATAAAGGGAGGTAACCGCTGCGAGGAGTTTGGATTGTTCACGGAATTTAGCGAGATAACATCGGGCGTACTTATACAAGCATTATGTTAATATTTTCAAAAATGTTTATTCTCACAATATCATTCGAGTAATCAAAAATCACATAAAATTACATTATGATATAATGGCCCAGCACATGAAAATCTTCGAAAATTGGTAATTGTTTTTTACATTTTGCAAGTATTCACCTGTTTATTTCTGGTCTTCATCCTTACCATACAAATTACCAAATAATATTGCAAAATTGCAAACATAAAGCCCCGGCTAACAAATTTATACCCGATTTTTTTCAAACGTCCTGGAGTTCTTGTGATAACTCTGAAGATGCCCTAGAGTTCTTATGATAACTTTTGTTACTGCCAGTGTACGTGTTTCTTGCGCTAAATCACGGCACGTTTTAGAATTTTTCATTATTCAATAAGGTTGTAAATCATCCACCCCTCGTGTAACAGATACTCTCTCATGATGTATGTTGATTGCAAACATTGCAAATGCGAACACACGATATTGCTACATTACACAAGAGACTTAAATATATTATCTATATATCTCTGCTTCTAATTATATTGAAATGCATGTATAATATATGCTAATGCTTCATTTCACATTTCTATATATCCATCAGAATCAGTATTTCAACTGCATTTGTATCATTGCTTTATTGCACATTGCGTCTCACTTAATAAAATTTCGGTAAATGAATATATAGCTGAAGACGTTCCAATGAAAGTCATATTTTGATACCATGTTGCGCTATGACGTGAATAAATTCTCCCGTGAAACCGTGTCACAGGTGAAAAGTTAACACATTCTGAAAAGCCGGTATTCGGGATCCTTTCAGATACATAGTAAATCCATGAAATGACCACGGGGGAGGAAATTGATTTGTCAGTAGTTCTTATGATAACTGTTTCAGAGTAAGTCGGGAAACATTTTATATACCGTAGAAACACTCGTAACACACCGTACAATCAAATGGGCAGACAGCTGTTCCAGCGTCCACAGCTGTACCAGTATATACATGTCGGCGCGGGGAATACAATTGACGTACGATAAGTATTCATCTATTTTAACATATCCCAATTGTCTTCGAGTAAATCAATGTTATGGATTCATAGTCAACATCCAAAGGAGCCTGCTAACAAATTTCTGGCCCTGTGCAAGCTTTACTTCACATGAATTTTGACTGAAAATAACCACACTATCCGATGAGATGCGGTATTTTTAGTTTGAAGTCACAAAAACTTATATTTTCTCATGATAATTAATCCTTTTTTCATACGATTCGTAAACGTCAACATTTTGTCACTAAATATTCCAAACCATACCTTCAAAAAAGCTTTTCTGTTAAAGTTATAAGGTATTTAAGTTTGAGTGTCATCAAAATTTTAGTAACGTCATCAGCTGTTTGCCTCTTTTTAATGATAACATCGACAGCAATTCATCGGCAAGGATGAATAACGCTGAAAGCTGTTCAAAGAAACTATTTTCAGAGCTTTTGTCCTACAGTAACTAGGAAAAAGTAAAACTTGTTTGTTCATTTAAAATATTACTTTATTCATGATACTTTCTAATTATATTATTTTTATAATTACTTTCTATCATTTGTTGTATCTTAGCTGAGAGGCCTATATCTTCATTTACCGCACTGTATTTCAATATTGATATTGTTCATATGAATGAATGAGTGAGTGAATGAATGAATGAATGAATGAATGAATGAATGAATGAATGAATGAATGAATGAATGAATGAATGAATGAATGAATAATTAATTAATTAATTAATGAACGAACGAATGAACAAACGAACGAATGATGCAATATACGTATATGCTAAAACAAATTGTCTGTAGAAAGTATATGAGTTGTTATATTCTA